GAATAGTGACAGATGGGACACGGGGAAGTGTGCTGGCTTAAATAAGGTCTCCTCAAATTCATGTTCACCTGAAACCTCCAAATGTAATTTTATTTGGGAATTGGGTCTTTGTAGCTATGTTGTTGTGTGCTGTCTAGCTGGAACTGATGCATAGCTTACCCTCCAGCTGGTTGTCAGAAGCAGTAAATCACATAGGAGGAGATTCCCCATCTTCTTCCTACAGAGCTGCTGCTGGATTTGAACTGTGCACCTTTTGGTTGGCAGCACAATTCCTTACCACTAAGCCACCGGAACTCCCTCTTGCAGCTATCTTGGTGTTGTGTGCCACTGAGCTGATGACTCCGAGCTTCCCCAAGAACAATGGCTTTGAACCTTACTGTATCCTGAGCCAGTCTTACTGTCTCAGACACACCTGCCAGCATTGTCATGGTCACTGTGTCGATCCATCTCATCCGACGACTTCCTTTTCTGCGCTGACCCTCTACCCTTCCAAGCATAATGTCTCCTTCGAAGGTTGGTCCCTCCTGGCAACATGCCCAATGTATATGAGACAAAGCCTCAAAATCCTTGCCTCCAAGGACCAACCTGTTTTCACCCTCTCCAAGGCAGAATAATTTGTTCTCTTAGCAGTCCTTATTATGATCAATATTCTTTTTTTTGTTTTTAAATTTTATTATTTTTTGTGTGTGTACCATCAAATCAAACAAGACTGTATTCTTCCCCCCTTTTTATTAATTTTAATAGACATTTACAGAGGTTTTGGATTTCCATTCATTCATTGCTGCACTTTTCTCTTTGCCCACCCCTCCCCACCAGTTCGCTCCCCTCTCCGAAAAGAAAAAGAAAAGAAAAATTCCTTCATTAGTATACAATTCCCCCATCTCTCCCCCCACCCCCACCCTGAGTACACTTTTCTATGCAACCTTAATTCTGGACTCCTGTGCTAGCTATAATACTCAATCATATATCACCTTTAATCTGTTCTTTACCTCATCTGTTTCAATACAATTTACATATTTTATCCAGTTTTTTCTGTCATACCCCAACCCTGATGTCAGACCCATTCTACAACAGTGGCACCATGCAGTATTTGTCCCTTTGTGACTGAGATATTTCACTCAGCATAATGTCCTCCAGGGTCACCCACTTTGAATAATATTGCATGAGTTCCTTGTTTTTCAATGCTGCATAGTATTCCATTGTGTGGATATACCACAGCTTCTCTATCCATTCGTTTGTTGATGGGCCCTTAGGTTGCTTCCAACTCTTTGCTATTGTGAACAAAGCTGCGATAAACATGTGTGTGCATATGATCAATATTCTACTGCAGCACCACAACTCAAAGGCATTGATTTTTCTTCTGTTATCCTTTGTCATTGGCCAGCTCTCGGATGCATAGCAAGCAATTGAGAAGACCGTGACCTGTAGCAGGCTCACCTTAGTCTCTAGACTGACACAGTTGCTCTTTAGCACCCTGGAGAGGTCCTTGACTGCAGATTTCCCCAAGGCAACTTGCCTGTTGATTTTCTGACTGCTGGTGTCAACAATGTTGATTGTGGATCCAAGCAAGATAAAACCACCAAAAACCTCAATCTTTCTCCATTGATCATGATACGACCTATCGGCCCAGTGCTGAGGATCTTTGTTTTCTTGATGTTGAGATGCAATCCATATTAAGTGTCAGTTAGAGTCCTCACAGGGTGATGGTGGGAGTGGTAGGGAGGTGTGGAAGAGCAACACAGAATTGCCAAATTTATGTCAGTTTTTTAATGGGGAAGTGTCTTTGCATGTTGCTGGTCTCATCTTAGCTCTGTTTATGTTTCCTTCTCTGTCATTAGTTCTTTTGGGAACAGTGCATACCTGTCAGATTCTGTACTGAAGCAGAGATTCTAAATTAAGGCAGACTAGAAAGACAGATTGGCTATCCACTTCTCAAATAACAGGCCTTCAAAAACCGTTTAGAAAACCTTTTAGCTTAGCAATATTAAAATATATATTGGCTGAAAGCAAGGAATACCAGAGGAATGTCTATCTGTGTTTCATTGACTATGCAAAGGCATTTGACTGTGTAGATCATAACAAACTATGGCT